TAAAAATAGTCAAGGAAAGGTACTTACTAACACTAAAGATCAAATGGACAGATGGGTTGAATATTTTGAAATGCTTCTAAATAATCCAGGCCCAGAGGTTCCCCCAGAAATCCAGCCTTTAGGAATGGAACTGGATATCAACTGTGAGATACCATCCAAAGAGGAAATTAGAAAAGCTATAAATCTTCTTAAGGAAGGAAAGGCGTCAGGCCCAGATGGTATCCTAGCTGAAGCCATCAGGACCAACATAAACACATCAACAGAATTGCTACATAGATTATTCAGTAAAGTCTTGGAGACCGAAGAAATACCAGCAGACTGGAGAGAAGGATATCTTGTGAAACTGCCAAAAAAAGGTGATCTACAGGAGTGTGAAAACTATAGAGGAATTATGTTGCTGTCAGTTCCTGGAAAAATATTAGGTAGAATTATTTTGTAAAGATTAAAAGATGCTATTGATAAAATGCTAAGAGATGAGCAGGCAGGTTTTCGGTCAAACAGATCCTGCACTGATCAGATAGCCACATTACGTATTATAATAGAGCAAAGCATTGAACTGAACTCACCACTTTACATTGGATTTATAGACTATGAAAACGCATTTGACAGCATTGATAGGGAATCTCTCTGGAAATTAATGGGGCACTATGGAATCCCACAGAAAATTATCAACTTAGTAAAGGCAACATATAAAGACATGAAATGTCGAGTTCTTCATGAGGGAAAGCTAACAGATGCATTTGAAAAAAAAAAAAAACAGGTGTGCGACAGAGATGTCTTTTGTCGCCTCTCCTATTTTTACTGGCTATAGACTGGACTATGAAAACAGTAACTGCTAACACCAAGAATGGAATTCAGTGGACCCCTACAAAACAGCTTGATGATCTGGACTTCGCTGATGATATTGCCCTTCTGTACCATTCACGAAATCAGATACAAGATAAATTAAATATACTTAATGCGAGATCACGGCAGCTTGGTCTGAAAATCCATAAAGGAAAGACAAAGATAATGAGACTAAATCAGGCAAATAGTAATGTGGTTTCTCCTAATGGCACCCCACTCCAAGACGTGGAGTCGTACACCTATTTAGGCAGTAATGTAGATAAAGATGGAGGAACTGATAGAGATATTAAAATAAGAATACAAAAGGCAAGAGGGGCTTTCATAGCACTAGGGAATTTGTGGAGGTCAAAAGAAATTAAAAGAAATACTAAACTAAAATTTTTTAATTCTAATGTCAAATCAGTACTTTTGTATGGGGCGGAAACATGGAGAACAACCAAGGCAATTACTAATAAATTACAGACATTCATTAACTGGTGCCTGCGCAGAATAGAGGGAATAAAGTGGTATGATAGAATAACTAATGTAGAACTTTGGGAGAGAACTAAACAGGCTCCAGTGGATCAGGAGGTGAGGAAAAGACGCTGGCGTTGGATAGGGCACACACTGAGAAAACAGGAGAACAGCACAACTAGAATGTCTTTGCATTGGAACCCACAGGGGCATAGGAATAAAGGAAGGCCAAAAAACACATGGAGAAGAGAGCTGGAGAATGAGGTTAGAAAGATTGAGAGGACATGGGGAGAGCGCCATGTAATGGCGAAGGATAGAACGACTTGGCGTGAGTTGGTTGAGGGCCTATGCTCCATTGGCGGATAGAAAGGCAGAAGAAGAAGAAGAAGTGAAACCGTACGAAACACCCCTTTAAGGAGGAAAGCTGGAGAAAATAAAAGCTACAGCAGGTGGTCTCCTCTCTGTATAGGCAGAGAGTATAAGAAAGAACTACAATCGACATCAATGTACACTGGACATCTCCCTGCAATCTCAGTTCTACGTTACAGCAGCAATGGATATCCTTTGTGGTTTTCGTTGACACAGAAACAAAGCGACTATTGGGTGACACGTTTACTATAAAGTTGGAACTGCGATTACCTAACTGATAATCTCACATCCCCTTGTTGGATGCAAATTTTCGTTATTTAGAAGCCCCATCCTGGCTCTTGCCAGGGGCCGCAATATAGCCCTGCCGGTAATATGGTGTAATGGCTAAACGTGGTTTCCGGGACCTCTCCACGGGTGATCCTCATCCACATGGTGGCACTTTGTGCCATCGGGTTTTTATCGCGTGTGTGATGTCCTAGTGGGGTAGAATGCACTACTACAACTCCTACCTAACTGATATAGAATTTTGCTGACTGGACACACTTCAAACAATACATCTGACAAACATTGGTGCATGCAATCGTTCAGACAGTCAAAATTATTTAACAACACCATCAGCACGTTGCGTTTTATTTCTCACACAATATGTCTTTATATGTGTTCGTTTATTTATGGTGTTTTTAATGTTCCAGCCGAAAGTGTGAAAACTGTAGAGGTTATCAGAGATGTCTCAGAAATCTCCCGAGATGACCTGGGAAACATGCACAGCTCACATAATAATAAAGACAACAGCATGGAATCTTTGCAGTTCTCAGATGCTATCCCAGATGTCTTGAAAAATGCAATGACAGTTGATGTCTCAAACGAAGCAACAGCCGCATCTGATAAAGTTACAACCGTTGCTAGTAACAACGAAATTGGAAATGTTGCTGGCAGTTCTACCACCAATGCTGTAAAGGACAAAATGTCGGGCAAGAACCTGATACAGGAAGTAACAGCTTTGTTGAAGGTTCAGTTACAGCTAAACAACACCGCGACACCATTTTCTGTGAAACGACCGTGTGTGCCTAAACCAACATGGAGTAAGTATATAAAATGCTATGTTTCTCTCCTCTTCTTCTTCCTCTACCATTCATTCACTTATTATCCTCTTGAGTTCGGACCTTTATTTTGGGTGAAAACCATAGATACACTGCTCTTTTAACAAGCATGTCGCAACAGGCGATAATTATGGCTTAGCTGGCATCGAATGTGTGTGCCGAAAGGCGCAGACCACGCATCCTAGCTCCAAAACCACAGTACAAATTGACATTTCCCTCCAAGGTTGCCGATCAATGAACTCAAAGCAAGCCATGTCCAGCGCGGCTCAGGTTTGATTGAAATAATAAATGAAATTCTCTCCGGGATACAGTAGTTTAACGGCTATCCTTAATCGTCTCCTGCAGAATACATGAAGTGTTACTGCTTTCAGTATCTGCCTAGTGTTACTGCCTAGGTGGGCAGCGATACAGGTAGGAGGACCACATCAAGAGATGAACGGGAGCAACTGAGAGAGTGTACAACGTGGACAAGAGACAGAGAGTGTTGGAAGTCCATTGCAGCCAACCTTCACCATGGAGATGGCACCTGATTGATCTATATCTTTGTCTATACGGCATTCATAAGTGATTTTCAGTGCTGCAGATTCCCTTTCTTTGGAATCCCATGTCATTTTACATGTATTCTTCGTTCGTCTATGTCTCCCTTTTTCCAACTCTCTCTCTCTTTCTCTCTCTCTCTCTCTCTCTCTCTCTCTCTCTCTCTCTCTCTCTCTCTCTCTCTCTCTCTTGTTGTACCTCACCAGGACATTACACAAGCAATAAACACCCGGTGACACAAAGTGCCACCATGCGGATAAGGATCACCTGTGGATAGGTCCCAAAAACCCCTTTCAGCCGTTATAGCCACATTTGTGCCCCAGCTAGATTCAGGGCCCGACAAATGCCAGAATGGGGCTTCAAATAAGGAAACATTGCATCCCACAAGGGGACGAATTACAGGATAAATTGTAAAAATGCGAGGGGGGGGGGGAGTGGCAGTTAGAAAATGGAATCGTCCAGATTTTAAGTTACAAAGTGGACGTAAGAATTTTAGAAGGGCATAGGCCGGGGCTGGTACATACGATCCTCAAACTGCTACTGGTACCATCCTAACTGAAACTTAACGCTGGCTGCTGAAGACGAAGAAAGAGACAGTGGGAATTCCACGAATTTTTCTCTCAACTCATCCCAGACCGATGGGAAGACTCTAGATTATTCGCCAGTTGTATTTCCTCGTGTATTATCATGCTAATTGTGTCTCTAAAGGCCTGTGTCCGCCGTCGTGTGAGTAGGACGCCACTGACTCTTCTCATAGTAACCGGAATCGACGTAGACCATAGGGGTGACTGCAGTGACGATGCTATCAATATATAACAAACACTATGACTGTGAGTTATGAGTTGATAATCGACTTACTAACACTTGGGACATTTCCAGAAACCCCTGCCCTCATATTCGGCAGCAAACGCAAAGTAACGTTTCTGAAAGTATCAGAAACGGTCTCTATGTCTAAATAAAATATAAGCACGAGTAAAGGCAAGACCTCGCCTATGACGGCACAATGACACCAAAAGCAGACTTAAATAAATTAGGACGAGCTCAAAGAAAGTAGCAGGAAAAGCACACATGAGATCCTCACTTATTTCATTGGAACTTTGATGAAATACCCGTAGGAAAAGAAGAGTGTTGGAAGTCCATTGCAGCCAACCTTCAACAAATATAGCATGCTTAGTTTATTTGCCAATTTTCATTCTTCTTATTATTTTTTCTTGTTGTTGTTGTTGTTTGTTGTTGTTGTTGTTGTTGTTGTTCTTCTTCTTCTTCTTCTTCTTCTTCTTCTTCTTCTTCTTCTTCTTCTTCTTCTTCTTCTTCTTCTTCTTCTTCTTCTTCTTCTTCTTCTTATTTCCTTTCTTCTTCTCTTCCACCTTCTAACTCAGTGAAGTGTCGAGGGAAGATGTAACGTTCGTTGATAAGCTCTGTCAAGAGCACTTTTAAGATTTTGAAAATTTCTGTAAGGTTGTTCATAATGCCATTACTCCATATTTTCCTAGGCCTTTTGCTTGCTCTATACCCGTTGTAACGTTTCAGTATGGCTCGCTTTGGTAGATAGTATCACAGATAGTTTTAGGTGTCCAAACCACTTTGTTTTTCTTGAATAACCTGTAAGACGGGTATTATTCCTAGCATTCGCCTAATTTCTTGATCTCGTATTTTCATTACAATTTTCATTACATTTTTTCTTCTTTCTTTAAGATTACGCCTGTGTACACCAAAACTGTACACAACTGAGCAACAACATCACAGAAAGAGTACAAAGTTTGTTTTCTACGAAGACGGCATTGACCAAAGTCCAGGATGATCTGCTGAGATCAGTCGGTGCACAGATTCCCGAAAACGATGTCATCCTTTTGACTGCAGTCTCAAGCAACCATTACGATGAGATGCAGGCCATGTTACACTCCCTCCATAGCGTGGTCTTTCCAGAACTGATGAAGACTGAAAACTTCTCTCTGGTTTTGTGGGATATCGGGCTAACTTCAGATCAACGACAGAAGGTTTGTTGTTTTTGCTTTGAAGAAATCTGCTTATTTTTATTTTGATGATACGAAGTGTTTAATACATTGTTTCGTAATTTTGAAAACCGGGATTCTTGCACTTTTAACTGGGTTTTTAACACAGAGTTTTTTTAAAAACAATTTTAAGCGGAACCTTTCTTCTCCTTGAATGCAACAAGACCTCTGTGTTCGATCTCTGGTTCTGTTACAGATACAGCTTTAACAGGATATGAGGTTGACCACGTAGAATATGGACCGCAGAAATATAAGAGACAATTAAAAGTACTTTCTACAAATCTACCATAAGGGCCCGTTACAGAGATCTCTTCCTGCTCTAACTCCGCGAGATATTCCGGGAGTAGAGAAAAGAAGAAGAGTGCAACAAAAACACACCCGATCAGAAACGACGATTCCACGAAATAGAGATGGGCGAGATTTGTCTACTGAACTTCATCATATGGTTTGAAAATGTGACCCGACTTTTATTAGACAGTGCACCATAGAGAACCCTGCCACTTTGACAAAATGAAAGCAGAGCTAAAAGTCACACAAAACCATGGAATATCTAAGGCAGTGAATGCAAACATGTAGGTAGCATGATCCAGATTTCGCATAGGGTATTCCTTTAAAACCTGACACTGTAAAATTAGAACAGGGACCTGAAAGAAAAAAAAAAAAAAATATCCAGGACCCAGGACTCTGGTGGTCAAATGAGAAGACGAAAATCCATTTCCTATCTAAACTGGGTAGTGATAATCAAACAAATTAGAACAACCTCTAATGTAGTGCCATAATGTTTAAACGATAATATAATGTAAATAAACTATTGACGAAACACTGAAAATAAGTTATTTAATGAATGATCACATAATTTAATAAATGTTTCTTGCAGACAGAAAAATGTTGTCGCTGTCAGGTCGTTTCTTTTCCCTTCGAGAAATTCCCAAAGCGCATGAGGGATCTACGTTGTTATATGTGGAAACCACTAGTGATACGAGTGAGTACATCTTCTTGTGTGATCATGACCCTTGGGGAGATGAACTAGTTATCCACCCTCACATGTATCCTTAAATGCATCGCAAACGAGTGAGTATCTGTACAGATAATGGCATACATTTTCTTGAGTGATCATGCCCCTTGGGGAGATGAACTAGCTATCTACTCTCACATGCATTATTAAAATATTTGGCAAATAACCTATGTTAGTCGTACTTCAATACTGTAAATGAATTTTTTAAAGATATTTAGTTGAACTACTGTGTCCATTAAACTACATGATAAAGTATCCGTAAAATAAAAATGATACTATAATACACTACGTGAAAAAAAAAATATTCAGTGCATTCATTACTGGGTGCTAAATAAGTAATATTACCATATGTAATTAAAAAGAGTCTTTAATGACTTTACCTTTTTATTGTCAACGTTCTAGTGCTAATTACACTTTGTCAATCAAAGCAGTCAATTTACACCCTCCTCCCCTCTCCCCCCCCCCCCCAACCGAATCATTTGTCAACAACAGTGACTTAATCATCCTAGCACTTTGGACAAATCTGTTAGTATTTACAACACTACAGTACAATATCTGTGTCTGGAACCTCGTACATGACTGTCTCTCCACCCCGCCGTCCCCCACCATCACACACACACACACGCACGCACGTACGCACGCACACACACACGCACGCGCGCACACACACACACACACGCACACACACAAGTCTGACACCTTGAAATAAAAAATCTCAGGAATATATAATGGAAAGTTGTGATGATGACCTTTTGAATTGCAGCTTCTTTTACTTTCGACACCCATACACGTACATAGTCCAGTCTACTTTCATGTTGTTGTTAGGTTTCGTCGAACATGTCCGCAAATGCACTGTTTCTGAAACGATTTTCTTTTTCTCGCCGCGGCACCCTTGTAAGACAGCAACATTTTCTCGGCACGTCTACCCTTAAAGCAGTTTTAATACCTGAGAAAAAATGGGGAAAAAAGAGCACATTCAATGCGATGAATGAAACTTTTTTTGGACGAAATTTTAAAAAATTTCCTCTATGTTTATGGGAAGTTTAGTGAATTGTACCCTGAAATCATTTAAAGGTTGTTCCTGTATATATATATATATATATATATATATATATATATATATATATATATATATATATATATATATATATATATATATCCACCCTCACATGTATCCTTAAATGCATCGCAAACGAGTGAGTATCTTTACAGATAATGGCATACATCTTCTTGTGTGATCATGACATTGGGGAGATGAACTAGTTATCCACCCTCATATGTATCCTTAAATGCATAGCAAACGAGTGAGTATCTGTACAGATAATGGCATTCATCTTCTTGTGTGATCATGACATTGGGGAGGTGAACTAGTTATCCACCCTCACATGTATCCTTAAATGCATCGCAAACGAGGACCTGAACCAACTTCTACTATTACTCCTACACAGTCTCTCACAAACACACACCCACACACACACACACGCACACACACTCTCACCTACACTCAAACATATATACACTCACACAATTTCATATATGTAATGCCTCTTTATTTCATTTTTCAGTCTTTCCTACTGTATCTCTCCCTCTCTCACTAGTTCTCTCTCTTTCTCTGGATGTTCAGTCGCGATTTCAATTGGTTTTATTCCAGAGCGCTAATACCTCAGTGCCTTAAAAATGACACCAAAGATCACAATAGTTAAGACAATAATTGTTAAAATCATAATTTTTTTCGGGGTTGATACAAATAAGTTAATTCCTGTTTTGAGTAGCTAATATACCATGAAGAATGCCTAGGTGTCTAAGTAGTTCACACACAGTTAAAGAAAGTATAGTTCTTTTGTTATATAATCCAGGGGAGAAATCAGCCTTCAGTATTAATTATACTCTGACCCAACCCCCTTATCATAAATGTCAATCCATGCATAGTCTTACACAAGCAACACAATAACATTCGATACACCGCTGACAGTGAAACACGAGCCTTTGAAAGATACTACTCTTCAAAGATCGAGGGCCAACATGTTATTTTAAAAGCCCTTTTGTATAAGCGCATTATCAAGTGCCAATTGTAGTCGGCGATCATGCCTCTCCTTAATCTGCGATCCACTTCTGCCTGTGTCAGTTCGTGTGTTGACACCTCCCGTTGCAATAACAAAAAGCTGTCAAGAATCTTCTGGCTTTGGCTTCCTTGGTCTCTCCTTTCACCGATCTTGCCACTTTTCCCATTTAACAGTTTCTCTTTTCTCATTGCTCTACAAATAAATTTTTTACTGCCTTTTTCAGATGTCTTTGACAATTTGTCTTTGAACCCACGTGTCTTTTAAAACACTTGGGGTGCTCTTTTGATCTATAAAAGGAGTTCTATGTTTTCTTTTAGAAACCATATCCCCCAAGGGCTCGAGAAATTCTGTGGCTTGTTTATCATTTTCCAGGATTCGTTACCATATGCCAAAATTGGCTCTATACACGCATAAAATCATTAAATAAAGAAAGTTTTAGATACAGATGGGTGTATTAAGTGTACGGGAAACATAAACAATTCACTTAAAACCATGGCGATCACGTGCAATTTAGTTTGCTGACCATAAATTCACTAACTAACATGTCTTTTTTCAAACTTTCGTACAACCGAACAGGTTAAGCAATCGGGCTTATTGAAATTCCACGTGCAATGGCAACTGCTCATGAACAGATTTCACTCTTAATTTGTTCAACAGTCCGCAGACTTAAGGTTGTTGAATAACTCGCAAAAACTATTCCTTCGAGAAGTTTTTGAGACTTTAGAAAGAATTAGGGCTATAACCTAGATTGGAAGTGGTTTACCTATCCCTAAAGTTGCCAAACGGCAAAGAATTTAGTGAGATTTCAGGCCACAATAGATGAGGATGATCGCCACAGGTCAGTTCGCACTAGATGCACCAAGGAACAGGATGACCATAACGTATTCTTGTCAACCCTGCGCCATGGAATAGTGACGTGTTCCACTCTGTGATGTCTGCTAAGACAAACTGTACAAGTTAATTTCAGTCAAAGCATGCATGTGTGTATGTAAGTTGTACCCCACCAAGGCATCACACAAGCGATAAACTCTTGGTGACACAAAGTGCCACCATGCGGAGGAGGAACACCCGTGCAGAGGTCCCGGAAACGCCGTTCAGCCGTTTGACCATATTTAAGGCTTGGATATATTTAGGGCCCCTGGCAAAAGCCAGGGTGAGGCTTCAAAATAACTAAAATATGGCGTTTCACATGGGACGGCGCTTAGCAGACGTTTTAATGAATTTGGACTGGCTACTTGACGTCCTACTGGTCTAAAAAAACCCATAGATCTAACCATATATTCCCAACATGCATAAAGGCAAATACAAGAGTCCTTTACAAGAATAGCTCTTACTCCTACTTATCAAAAAGCCCGTCTTGCTTGGTGTTGCGAGCACATCCGATGGACAAGGCAACATTGTCAAGTCGTCTTCACTGATGCATCTCGCTTTACTGTGCCATTTAATTATGAAAGGGTAACAGTTTGGCTGACTGCTAAAGATGAGGACGGAGCATTCATTGTAATGCCTCGAGTGCTGTGGTGTTAATTCTGGACTCAGCTCAACTCAACTCAAGGCTACGAGTTTGGAAACGACCGGGAGAGCGATTTACTGATCACACAATTCAAGAGGCGGATCAATGTGGCAGGGATCATGTTAAAAAATGGCAAGTTCCAGCATTCAACGTCGTCCAGGGCTATTTGAATGGTCCAAGATAACAAAACGAAATCTTTAGACCAAATGTCCAGCCCGCTTTGGAGATCATAGTTGGTAGTGCCATCCTCCAAGATTTCAACGCTTGACCCCCCATCGAGCTGGGATCGCGAAGGCCTTTATTCAAAAATATGGGGAGGCCCGCTCTTTCACATAATCTTTTTATGACTGAGCACCTCTGCGAGAGACTGTCAACAAATCACCCCTCTGCCAAGGGTTATAGAACAGCCGACTGAATTTCTGTTTTAGGAAAGCAAGCTGTTACTTAAGACACTCTTTGCAGCCCTGTAGTCTCGAAAAGACTACACAAAGACACTCAGCAAACACATAAAACTCAAGATCTTCAACTCTTGCGTGACACTAGTACTAAATTATGGATATGAAAGTTGAAAAGCAACAGTAGCGTTTAATAAAAAAAAAAAAAAACAAATTTTGTTAACATATGTCTTAGAAAAATACTTAATCTTCACAGGACAAATTTAAGATCCAATACGCAAACAAGACAAGAGACCAAGCTATACAATGTCTCTAATTTTATTTTTAAAAAGCGCTGCTAGAAATACATCGACCATGCACTCAGAATGCACAAGAGAGGACTTCCCTCATGAAGCTCTCAGTGGACACAGGAAGGGAAAAGAAAACGGGGAAAACTATGAGAGACTTTGCGTAGAACCATTATCAGGGAAGGCTCAACTATGGGCGTAATGAATAACCAAGACCAAAATCAGGTGGCAACGAACCGCCAGACCTGGAGAGCTATGACCTCTGCCCTCTGTCGTGCATGCTTTCGATTTTTATGTTGTCTAGTGTGTTCTTCTATCTTTCTACTTCTTTCTATGAGTGCCGTTCACAATACTTTCTGTTACTTGATTAATTCATAATATTTAACGGCTTCCAATGGTTCCCCCCCTCTGTTTATTTATAGGAATGACGTATACACACCGGAACCTACCAATCAAATACCTTTCTTAAATGTTTGTGTATTCTAGACAGGGCAATAAGGTCTACTGTGTACGTAAATGTTGCTGTGATTGTTATTTGACATTTGCCTCGTTAATATAAATTTCTGTAACCTATGGTGCCATTTCAATGGGTTGAAATAAATTCTGTCCGTATTCCATAGTCGTGGATTTCAAGCTGTACGATAGACATGGCCAATGAGACACCTTTTTTTGGGGGTGCCGAGTTGACCATGTATCTTAGTGCACTTGTATTCATGGCGAGGCGCAGACGCCGTCTGGAGGTGACAGGTTCAATTCCCGGCACGGTAACTATAGCTTTCGATTTTTATGTTGTCTAGTGTGTTCTTCTATCTTTCTACTTCTTTCTATGAGTGCCGTTCACAATACTTTCTGTTACTTGATTAATTCATAATATTTAACGGCTTCAAATGGTTCCCCCCCTCTGTTTATTTATAGGAATGCCTTCCTGCAAACGTTGGACAAACCAGATTTGTAAATGCCGAAGTGGTCAGTTTCTATTGGGTAACGTTTGAAAGGGTGGGTGGCAGACTTTACAGCTTCGTTACGTTTAAATGTTTCCATTTATTTACCAGACATGACAGTTTGCGACTGGTCACCCATTACCTGGCCAGTAGAAGATTTATTTCATCGTCGGTTGCGACGGTATTTAAGTCTGTCTTCTTGAATCGCACCAATACTGCAGGAGTCATTTTCAGGGCTATAGCTAGCAATGTTAAGATATTTAATATGGCGGAAAGGTTCTTAATTTATAACGTACCCCAAACACGAAATTCCCGTGGGAAATCCACAGCTGACCTGACAGTCCATTATTTCAAGGGGTGCAAGTGTGCTGTTTTGTCGTGCTGTTTTTGAGTGTTCATCTAGTGTCTTCTAACCCTAACCCTAACCGTAACCCTAACCCTAAACTTGGCTGTAGAGAAATCGCGAGAAACGACAACCTGAAAACCCTAGAATCTATTAGGAATGTCTCCCGTGACGTTGTCGCGACGTCAGGGGTAAGTAAGTCACCATTTTAATCATAATCACCCCTTTCAGGGATATGGACTGAACCTGACGATTTTCCCGCCTGTTGAACAAATAAAGAGTGAAATCCGTTCCTGAACAGTTGCAATTGCACTTGGAATTTCAATCACCACAATTGCTTTACCTGTTCGGTTGTACGAACATTTGAAAACAAAAGAAATGTCAGTATGTGAATTTAAAGTCAGCAAACAAAATTGCACGTGATCGCCATGGTTGTTGTTGAATTGTTTTTATAGGATGAGAATACACATATCTGTAACTAAAAGAAGGCTGTCAATTTGATTTTTAGTAAATACTATATTCATTGATATTACTTACGTTTATAAAATTTATTTTATGGTGTCAAAAATGGTTTTTCTAAAGGGCCTTTGTCTTTTGACAAATAGTCTGTTTTATTTAGGAGAACCCACATTTGGAATATTTCCGGTTGTAAGTTTATGACGTGTTTGCGGTTTGCTGTTTCTTTTGCATTCCTTATTTCTTTCTTTACTTCTTCTTTGATTCTGCCCTTCCACTCTTTCTTTTTCTCAGTCCTTATTAATTAATTAAATCGTTTATTAATTTGTGTTGGGTCTCTACCTCCTTTCTTTCTTTCTTTCTTTCTTTCTTTCTTTCTTTCTTTCTTTCTTTCTTTCTTTCTTTCTTTCTTTCTTTCTTTCTTTCTTTCTTTCTTTCTTTCTTTCTTTCTTTCTTTTTTTCTTTCTTTCTTTTCTTTCTTTCTTTCTTTCTTTCTTTCTTTCTTTCTTTCTTTCTTTCTTTCTTTCTTTCTTTCTTTCTTTCTTTCTTTCTTTCTTTCTTTCTTTCTTTCTTTCTTTCTTTCTTTCTTTCTTTCTTTCTTTCTTTCTTTCTTTCTTTCTTTCTTTCTTTCTTTCTTTCTTTCTTTCTTTCTTCATTTATTTCTTTTGATCTACTTGTCTGTCCTTCTGTTGTACTACTGAGTTGCTAAAGTATTTCACTCGTGGAAATGAACTGAATACAGCCAGTATTATCGGTTGGTCGAAACAAGTTTTGTTGCCTGGTCCTGTAGTTAAACCGAGGCAACAGATTCAAATCTCAAAATAGTCTCCAGAGCTTTCAGTTATAAAATTGTCTAGCGCGAATATAACAGTACGTTTTCACCCCAACTCTCACTGGCATAGTTTAATAAAGGCATTATATTTGAAAAAAGGTAACTTGGTTCTAAAATTACGCGATAACGAGTTCTATAGTTTGTTCAAGCTTGTATCATTTATGTCTTTGTATTTCCTGGACTATTACTATCTGTATATTCTTGATCTGTGACGTCAATATATTTATATTTTCATAACTTATTTGTAGTCCATCTTGTGAGACTATTTTTGCTAAATAGTGTTTTTTTTTTTTTTTGAGCGTCACTGCTGTTCTTAATTAGCTAAAACTATCATCTGCGAAATCAAGATCTTCCATATGTGTCTTTTCTGCTCAGTCAATGCCGATGTTTCTAACAAAAGATAATTTCTATCACTTGATCGATAGCTATAGCAGATAACAGGGTATTTAAAATGTACCTTAAAGCCATACAGCACAGTTATTTTAGGGCAGCACAAAACGTCTAAGATATTATCTGTGGTCCAGTTTGGCTGGTCAAGATTCAAAATGCCTTCGAAACATGGATTCTCAATGCTTTTACCATCCGTCTCTCTCTTTCTCTCCATTTCCCATCCGTCTCTCTATGTCTCTCTCTTTCCCACCAGTCTCTCTCTGTCTCTTCCTTTCCCACCCGTCTCTCTCTTTCTCTCCCTTTCCCATCCGTTTCTCTCTTTCTCTCCTTTTCCCATCCGTCTCTCTCTTTCTCTCCCTTTCCCACCCATCTCTCTCTTTCTCTCCCTTTACCATCCGTCTCTCTCTTTCTCTCCCTTTCCCACCCATCTCTATCTTTCTCTCCCTTTTCCACCCGTCTCTCTCTTTCTCTCCATTTCACACCCGTCTCTCTCTGTCTCTCCCTTTCCCACCCGTCTCTCTCTTTCTCTCCCTTTCCCATCCGTCTCTCTCTGTCTCTCCCTTTCCCATCCGTCTCTCTCTGTCTCTCCCTTCCCATCCGTCTCACACTTTCTCTCCCTTTCCCACCCGTCTCTCTCTTTCTCTCCCTTTCCCACCCGTCTCTCTCTGTCTCTCCCTTTCCCACCCGTCTCTCTCCCAGTCTCCGTCCAGGATGATGAAAGTGGGGATGCAGCCTAGTTTTTGTCAGTTTTACTTATTGCTGTCACAAAACTTTTAGTTAATAAACACAGCACGGACCTTACCAGTCGTCTCTTACCGTTGAGGGCTACTGATAAGGGAGAGGAAACTGTGCTAGAACCTAAGGTAAAAAGAAAAAAAACTTGTCGTTTTCTTTTAGTTTCCAAAACGGTGATCAGTAAAGTGGTCAAATTTGCAGATGTCATTCTGGCTACAGTGTTTACATCAGCTGTGCTATATGCAACATGACTTCTACGTCCTAATAATAATTAACAGCCCGGACAGCAACTGTCGTTTTATATTAGCAGGGCTCGAAAGCTTTGTCGGTCACATTTGATTGGGGGGGGGGGGGGGGGGGGGGGGGGGGGGCGGGGGTAGCTGGAATACACAAGCTTGGATTTGACACGGATTACTATTTTTCCCTCTTTTCCGAACATTTTGCATATAAACACGTTTTAGCATGATTTAAAAATTTAATTATCTCCTATACTTTGTAAAGACTGAATAATTTCATCCAAGATCACTTTTCTTGTTTAAATAACCACATCAAGCGGCGATTGGTTCTATAAAACTTTGCTCTGGCACTTTATATCTGATGACAATTGGCTTACTTTAACTTGTTTTTGTTTTTTTTTTAACGCAGATGACACAGTTACGTGCCAGAAAATACGCAGTCTGGCAAGACGCATCAATAAGGTACATTCGTTTCCCTGGTCCAGTTTTCGAAAAGGGGAGACTGCATGGACTGCAATTGATGAGACAGAAGGCTGGAGTGTCAACTCCACACAGAACACTCCCAGAGGTTAGCACCCCTCACCCACACTCCAGCTAGAGCACAAGCCTATAACCGACTTACTAGAATCCGCATTGGGACCAGAAATTCCCTCTTGTGATGTAATGGAACATTTTGATGAACTCGTCAACATGTTCCAGGGGAAATTAATTTTGGCAGTTTAAATTTCTCTAGCAAACCACTGCGTACTTGGAAATTTTCTATTACCCAGAATTCATGTTCGAATTATTTTCAACAACTTCTGGAATTATCGTCCTAAAGATTCAAGCGTTAAACACCTTCACATGTTTGACTTGGCTTAGTGTGGTTCAGCGAAGGGAGTACGCTTTCTTTTCAGCTTACTTTCTTTATAATATAAGGAGTTAGCTTTCTTTTTCGCTTGACTTTCTTTACAATATAAGGGGAGAAAAAGATCAAGAAGATGAAGAAGAAGAAGAAGAAGAAAAAGAAGAAGAAGAAGAAGAAGAAGAAGAAGAAGAAGAAGAAGAAGAAGAAGAAGAAGAAGAAGAAGAAGAAGAAGAAGAAGAAGCAAAAGAAAAAAAAGGAGAAAAAGAAGAATGAGGATGAAGAAACTCAGAATTTCAACTCAAATGCTCCCCGAGTGGACTCCAGTACTGTATTGAAAGGAAAGTCCTGGGGGGGGGGGGGGGGGGGGAGGGGGTGGACCCGCCCAACTTTCATCCAATAAACAGTTTGTGAAATCGACTAATTGAGGGTGTTTTCTTCGAAGCCGAGTGCTGCTGTCTGAGCAGCAAAAAATAGCTTCCATACAAATATGCCAGATCTGTAAAACAGATATGCACGCAAAACTCAAGTTATGGAATCAGGCCATAGTCCAGAAATTTACCAAGTATAATTTGTCGCTGACTATATTTAAGCTCTGCTTCTATCTTTCTGCGAACGCTTCGTAATGCCGTGATGCCGGGTTTGATCCCAGCTGTGGGCCATGCGCCTTGCGTTGTTTTCGACAGTGTTATCAAGAAAGCCGACCGTCCAGAGGGACGGCAAACTAGGGGCTGTTGGGGTTGGTTCTGCAACGTCCTGTAAAGGATACGCAACTAACCTTCTAACCAACTAACCGCCTTTTCAATGTTCATTTCAATGCTATGTGTTTTGCATTCTTCATTGTTGAAGATATCAAAAGTATGGTGGATAAAATTTCATTCATATTTATGTTTCAGACTTTCGCCTACCTGGGGCAGAAGGCGTGCAGCTTTTATCAATATCCTGAAATCGCTTCAGGATTTGGTGTATACAAGCATAACGCTTTTGTTCTGACAGCTGTGACCAACCCCTGGGCCAGGTGTGGCTTTGAAGAGGAGTGCATGTGTCCAAAGCCGTCTATGGCATCTTACAGATGTGTTTATGGACCTTGTCATAGGTAATACTGACATAACATTCATAAAATGTGGTTTTGTTTTTAGGTAAGTGAATCAGGGGCACCTGAACCTACGGGGTTTCATATCTTAAGCACACCCCCCCCCCCCTCCACAGAAACATACTGCTGTTTATTTGTTGCTTAGAAGATGTCTTCACAAGAGTACAAGTCACTGTACAAGTGCATTTGTCTTTTGGCAGCTACTTTAGTTCATCCCACATATAAGCACCGAGATCTAAAGGGTGGGAAGATGGGAGGGGGGGGGGAACCCAGTCCCTTGAGCTGACTTAACCCTCCAAGTAAACATGCGTAACGGACTAAGAGTCCTCTCTAACCATGCACGGGAGTTCTCTTATCAACAAGCAGACACATTGGCTTAATGTACACCAGTGGGCGGTGAACTGATTCATGACAAGTCAAATGTGGTTAGAGCCATTTGGGGACAAGTAACGAACAAGGAGCGAAGTCAGAAGAGAAAAAAAGATTTTATGGGCTTGAGAGAATGATGCACCTGGGTATGATCTAATGAAAGGCAAGACGCACAAACAACCATTGGTACTGGAACTCTGCGCTTGCTGCCGAGGGTGGGGACGTGGCACACACTTGAATGCTCCGAGTGCTATGATGTCAATTCTTGACTCAACTCAACTATATATATCTTGGACGTTTTCGTGTTCGTCTTAGGGTATTCCAGCCCTAAGCTTCTAGCACTTTCCATTATCTATCTCGCGGGGTTGTCTTGAATTTGTTGAGTGGTTTTTTTGTTAAAAGCTACCTTGGCAAACTTCTTTGATAAATATTGGATTGGCCCGCAATTCATTCAGCACCTGCTCCGCCTGGCTCCCGGCGCCACCAGCTATGGTATTGTGTCCTCCAGTTTTTTTTCTTTTCTCTTTCTCTCCGGATGGCTTACCCGAAGGTTAAAAACGCTTGGCTCTCATGTGGGAGGCCAGGAGTTCGAATCTTCGAGAAAGTCGTGTATTTTTCCGTCTGTTGCAAAAATACAATCCTAACCCTTGCAGCCCATGGCGACAGACTATCCAGACGGCTCGGAATTCTTAGGCTGACGACCAGCCCTCAGATATTGCACTGTATGTTTTTTTATTCAAATATCTTTTTACAGGGATAAGAAGGAAACTGGAACATGCTGTGACAAATGGGCCAAGAAACAAAGGAAGACCAGGAAAAAAAAAATGACTGCCTTGTGTCATGGCCGAGGTCTCAGCACACGCATTCACGCTTTTTGATGTTTAACTCCACCAGGACATCACACCGAGCGATAAACACCCGGTGACGCAAAGTGCCACCATCCGGATGGGGATCACATGGAGACAGGTCTCTGTTCAACCTGTAGGTTATATGAGGACCCCATGACCACAGCCGGAGTAGGGCTTTGAAACAACAACAACAAAAAAATGCGTCACATTTTGAAATGCTAAAAGAAGATTGCAGCTCCTTGTGTGGGTTTCGGGCCCCATTGTGGGAAAAACAAGAAAAGACCTTCTGCTTCCCAAACAAGCATGTCGCAAGATTCGACTAATTGGTGGCTTTTCTTCGGAGTGCATCTGCCTGAGATGCAAAGAATCAGCTTTTTGCATACAATTAAAACAGAACTGTTAAACAGATGTGCACGCGCCACTCAGGTTCTGGAACAAGTAAAGTCCAGAGGTGGACAAACAACCAAAACTTTCCGTTGGAGTTTACAGAGAAAGAACGCGAAGAAGAAGCAGAAGATCTCAGTTTGTGGAAAAACAGGGTAGCCTAACCGGTCGGCAAGGCGCTTGCTGGTGATTATTATGAATTAGGATAACGAAATTGCTTTCTCTCATAGAAGTTTTGTCAATGAGTGTTAACAATTGATGTCTTTATTTAACATTTACCTATTTCAATTTCTTGCTGCAGGTTCGACCAATCAGCGTTGACAATTATAACTGCCACTTTGTACAGTTCAGAGATGTACAGAATTCTACTGTTCGAGACAGATTTAAGACAATTTTTCTGGGTTGGCAGAAACGACAAGGAGATGAATTATTTCAACAGCACCGGATGTCTTTCGTGATAAAATATGTTAATACCTAAAAAAGAACAGACAAATTTACATGCTTAAAGAATGAAAATAAAAATAAAATTTAAAAACATGAAAAGACAGAAGATACAATGCCTACGAAAGTTTAAAAAGGAAATACACGCATATAATATATATGAATTTCCTAGAGAGAGAGAGAGAGAGAGAGAGAGAGAGAGAGAGAGAGAGAGAGAGAGAGAGAGAGAGAGAGAAATAGAGAGAGGGGCGGGGGTAGAGAGAGAGAGAGAGGCGGTTGAATGTGTTCTGTAGTTTACAGCTAAGCTGCTCTATGCACCTTCCGGTCTACGACGTCTGATTTCAGTCAAGGTATAACTAATCTTCTTTGGCGACATTCTTGCTGGGGGTGGGGAGGAGAAGGGCTGTGTCTATCTCCCCTCCTCCCCCTCTCCCTCCCTCATGTAAGACCCCTGAACCCACACAACAGGGAAAATCACACTTAACGCATATCAATGTCCTCTGATGAAAAAGAAAGAAAGAAAAATGAAAGAAAGAAAAAAGACAAGAGAAAGAAAGAAAAAAAGGAAAAAGAAAGAAAGAAAGAAAGAAAGAAAGAAAGAAAGAAGGAAAGAAAAGAAAGAAAGAAAGAAAGAAAGAAAAGAAAGAAAGAAAGAAAAAGAAAGAAAGAAGAAAGAAAGAAAGAAAAGAAAGAAAGAAAGAAAGAAAGAAAGAAAGAAAGAGAAAGATAAGAAAGAAAAGAAAAAGAAAGGAAAAAAAGAAAGAAAGAAAAGAAAGAAAGAAAGAAAGAAAGAAAGAAAGAAAGAAAGAAAGAAAGAAAGAAAGAAAGAAAGAAAGAAAGAAAGAAAGAAAGAAAGAAAGAAAGAAAGAAAGAAAGAAAGAAAGAAAGAAAGAAAGAAAGAAAGAAAGAAACTGACACAGACTGCATTTCAGGAAAAGCGTTGTTCGTTTTAAAATGATGTCAGTGCTGCTCTTACAATGTTTTTCAAAAACCACTGCCCATAGCTGCTACATAATTTTTGTATGAATCCAATGGCTACCAGGGAAACATTTCGACACATGTCTTTATCAACGAAAAAAAAAAAACACACACACACACACACACACACACACAAAACAACGACATAATTTCAAAACTGAAATATTGCAAATTTCCGATTTGTGCATGTTAAAGAATAATACATATATAGTGTTTTTCAAGTGTAATAAACATAATTGTTTGTGCTATGCTTTGAAATCTGCAAATGACGTTTCTGTGATAGGGATACAACAGGTCTGCAGAAAACTATTTTTACCTTTAAAAGTTTTAAATCGAGAGAGTCAACTTCATTGCAACAGCTTTCATGCCTGTTTGCCACGTCTCTTTCCACAGAACAAGCAACTGTTTGCTAGTAGCGTTACTTAACTCCCTATCTCCAGCGACGATTCACACGAATGTCAGTAAACATTTCTCTCTTGAACCGAACGACACAGAAAAAAAATCTGCGAAATTCAGAGCTTGAAGCAACCGACATTACTAGTTAAGACACTCATTGAACAACAGATGGAGTAAAATATAAATATAAAATGAATTCAAAGCAATATTTTTCCGTTAGGAATTTGATCAAATAAGACACAAACAATAGGTTTATTGCCTGTCGTATTTCGTTGTTTGACTGACTGACTGACTTTCTACCCCAAAAGGACATCACACAAGCGATAAGCACAGAATGACACAATGTGCCACCATGTGGATGAGTATCACTGTGGAGAGATCACAGAAACCGCCATATTTATGGTCAGGATATATTGTGGCCCCTGGAAAAAGTCAGAGTAGGGCTTCAAAAAACGAAAAATGTCATCCCAAAAAGTACGGGAAGTATAGTAAAGGATCATAATTTCGCCGTATCTCGTCATGCGCACCTTGTTTTTGCCTTGCCTTTACCCTGGTGAAACATAATTGTTTTTTTTTTTTTTTAACGTAGTCGATTTTCTGTTTCAGTTATGCAATATATGCACAGGTTTATTTACAGGTTGCAAATCTGTTTTCTTTCTGCAATAAATTGAAAATCTAGTGCTTCTGATTTACTAAAAACAGTGTGAACATCTGATTAATATGTATTACAAAGACTTAAATAATAATGAGCTTTTAAATGAATGTAAGTATCTCAAGCACTACACCTAGTTCCTAATGAAAACTGTGAGACTCATCCTGCACTCTACAAAAGAAAAAAAAAAAAAAAAGAAAATAATAATAAAAATAACGTTGTACAATTTTCCGAATGATGAAAGTGCACTCAGAATGTTGATGTGCATAATGGTAACTAAATGTACAGGGAAACGATCTTCTGTATTTAGCCTACAACTTTTTTTCTTCAAATCTAGAACATTGAAGCAGCATCATTTAAACCAGCTTTCACTCATGTGCATGGTAAATGACATCCTAAAGACCACTGACTTCAAGCCAGTAGGGCAATTCTACAATTAGAAAAACTACAAATGCTTGCTTTAATAAGAAGCTCCTAGTAATTTCAGATTGTGATATGTATATGTTTATGTTTTAGCGCCGGTTTTGTTAAAGTGCCAGTAAAATAAATATACGTTTTGAATGATCGACTATTCACACTTCGTTCTTGAGAGTGGTTGTTAAAGGGGCCCCGGTACACAGGTTTGCTCAGAGGCCAATAACGATGCTAAGATAGCCCTGTGTAGACGGATATTGTTGAGTGTTGCATTATGTTGGATGTTGTTGGATGCTGCATGATGTTTGATGTTGCTGCATGTGATTGGATGTTTCATATTGTTGGATGTTTCATGCAGCTGAATTGTCATGTAGTTTAATGCTTCAGGTAGTCATAGTTTTTCTTTAGTCACAAATATTTAAAAGAAATATGTCTCTGTTTAGGATTACAATTAGACAACTTTATTTAAAAAAAAAAAAAAATGGAATATTCCTGACATCACTTTGAATTCGGAGACCATACCAATAATCCTTCATTACCTTACTTATTTCTTTAAATCATAAACAACCAACCTTTTGTCGTTCATCTGAAGTTAGCCCGATATCCCACAGAACCAGAGAGAGAAGTTTTCAATCTTCGACAGTTCAGGAAAGACCACGCTATGGAGGGAGTGCAGCATAGCCTGCATCTCATCGTAGTGGTTGCTTGAGGCAGCAGACAGAAGGATGACGTCGTTTTCGGGAATTTGCAGTGAGATGGATCTAAGTAAGCCAACTTGCTCTTTGGTCATGAGCGTTTTCTTTGAGATCAAACTTTGGACTCGTTCCGTGATGTTGTTGCTCAGCTGTGTGCAGTTTGGGTGAACACAGGCGTATTCTAAAGAGATTTAGAGGTAAAATCAGACATTACATAATAGTTGTATTTCTACTCTGTTTTCTCTCTCTGGTAAATAGGTGAAGCTATTTTCCTAGCAGATACAGTCACTTGGGTTTCTAAACAGAAGCTTTCTTCCCTGACAGCTCCTAAATAATTCAGGAAATTATATGGTATCATAACTTTTCGACTTTCCTGTTGTATTGTGATGAAAACATATTAGTGTATGTGTGCGTGCGTGAATGAGTAAGTAAGTTAATTTTACCCCACCAGGATATCACACAACGCGATAAACACCTGGAACACAAGGTGCCACCATGTAGATGATGAACACCTATGGAAAGGTCCCGGAAACCGCGTTCAGGCATTAGGCTGTAACGCGGCCCTTGGCAACAGCCAGAGTGGGGCTTCAAATTAACGAAAAATTGCATCCCACTAGGGGACGAGTTAGTATATACGCAGAGTGCGCGTGCGTTTGTATCTGTATTTGTGTTTGTAAACATTAGAAAATATTTGTGTGTGTGTAAACTGCAGGTAAAGAACGGCAGAAATAAAACAAAATTCATTAGAAAAAAGAAAAAAAAAAACAATATTAAACAACAACAAAATCCAACGATTGGGAAACGCCTCACCTAAGCGAGTCCATCTGCAGTCAGTAGCTGCGAGAACACCCACACTGTATCCGTTCAAAACACTTGAGATGTCTCCCCTATGTGATACACAGTTCTAAGAAGGTAAGTGCCTCAAGTAGGTAGGTAAGTTGTACCCCATCAAGACATCAGACAAGCGATAAACACCCTGTGACACAAAGTGCCACCATGCGGATGAGGATCACCCGTGGAGAGGTCCTGAAAAACCCTTTTAGTCGTTACGCCTTGTTTATGGACTGGCTATAATCAGGGCCCCTGGCAAAAGCCAGGTTGAGGCTTCAAATAACGAAAAGATGCATCCCACGAGAGACTGCTTCATTAGGCCTCAAGTAACCATTATTGTGTTAAAGTTAATTCACTCTGCTCTAAGAAGTTGAGCTAATACATGCATTAGTCTGTGGAATTACCAAAATCTGTGTAAAATAAATTATACCAGGTGCAGAGGTGGACGCACAACGTGAACTCTCCGAATGTCTTTACAACTGTTGAACGCGAAGAAGAAGAAGAAGAAGAAGAAGAAAGAAGAAGAAGAAGAAGAAGAAGAAGAAGAAGAAGAAGAAGAAGAAGAAGAGGATGAGGAGGAGAAGGAAGAAGAAGAAGAAGAAGAAGAAGAAGAAGAAGAAGAAGAAGAAGAAGAAGAAGAAGAAGAAGAAGAAGAAGAAGAAGAAGAAGAAGAAGAAGAAGAAGAAGAAGAAGAAGAAGAAGAAGAAGAAGAAGGAGAAGAAGAAGAAGAAGAAGAAGAAGAAGAAGAAGAAGAAGAAGAAGAAGAAGAAGAAGAAGAAGAAGAAGAAGAAGAAGAAGAAGAAGAAGAAGAAGAAGAAGAAAAAGAAGAAGAAGAAGAAGAAGAAAAAGAAGAAGAAGAAGAAGAAGAAGAAGAAGAAGAAGAAGAAGAAGAAGAAGAAGAAGAAGAAGAAGAAGAAGAAGAAGAAGAAGAAGAAGAAGAAGAAAGAAAATGAAGAAAGAAGAAAAAGAAGAAGAAGAAGAAGAAGAAGAAGAAGAAGAAGAAGAAGAAGAAGAAGAAGAAGAAGAAGAAGAAGAAGAAGAAGAAGAAGAA